CTGGGGCCGGTGGGTAGAGGGCAAGGTCAGGAGGGCCGGTGGGGAGGCCGGGAGAGAGACAGAGTCAGCTGGGCGGCGGCCCCCTCCCTCCTGGTGTCCTTCCTCCCCACCCAGAGCCCGGGTGGCCGGGTGGGAGCGGCTGTGCTGGGACCTGCAGGCGTGGACACTGCAGGGGCGCTGCTGCTTCCCGTTAGGACAAGCCTCGCTGACAACATGGGGAGAACCCAGTCACCAGCGTTCGCCGCTGCTCCCCTGCGCTGCACTGGCACTGCCAGCAGCGGGCTTCACAGGGAGATCCCTGCCAGGCGAGGGGGGAGGGCCCTCGGGAGACACCCCCGCCCAGGGTCTCAGTAGCATCCGCATGCTCTGTTTCGTGTTCCTTGGCACGGAGCCGGGGTTCTCCTGGACTGAGGGGTGGCACGTGAATGCCGAACGGGCGGTCATGCCGGCCGCTTACACAGTTGGCTGAGCTCAGGCAGGTGGGTGAGCGGAGAGGCCCCGATGGGAGGTGCCTCCAGTGCCAGACACCCGGCCTGCGTGGGGGTCCAGCTGGTCGCTCACACCTGTGAGTCCCGGGCTCCCCGGGGAGTGGGAGCCCACCTGGAGCAGGGCTGTCACCTGCAGGGGCCCTAACGAAGGACCACAGACGGATGGATGGATGGACGGACGGATGGATGGACGGACTGGGGAGCTTAAAGTGACTGGAGGGGAATCTCTCTCAGCTCTGGAGACCAGAAGCCGTGCTCCCTCCGGAGGCCCTAGGGAAGGGTCCCCCTGCCTCTCCCAGCTCCTGGGGACCCCCAGGGTTCTTAGCCATGTCACTCCAGTCTCCGCCTGCGTCCTCCCATCGCCGTCTCTCCCGCGGGTCTGCCCTCTAATCTCCGCTGTCTTCCTCTTCTCGGGTCGCCCGGGGTGGCGTCTGGGCCCGGGGCTAAGCCAGGATGAGCGCTTTATCTCAGGCCCTTAACGGAGGCGCATCTGCAGGGACCCTGCTCCCTAATAAGGTCACGGTCCAGGTTCTGGGGGTGAGAGCCGCGGCCTGCCTTGAGCCATTGTCAGCCTCTGACAGCCAACCTGCCCCGAGTCCCCCACAGTAGCTCGGCACCACTCCTTCCCGGTGCTCCTGGCCTGCCCCACAGGCTCCGCGGGTCAGCGCGGGTCTGACCGGTCCTGCTGGGAGCAAGCACCCTGGGGGGCCGGGCTTGGAGCCCACCCCACCCCTCCCTTGGGAACTCCACGCCCGGGCCCATTCTTAGATGCCCTGAGCCTGAATCCTCACCCGCAAACTGGGGACGCCCTGCGTGTCGTGGCGAGAGGGTGTGGAGTGACGGGCGTGCGTGTTACGGCAGCTGCCTCCTCCCCACGCCCCGTGGCACCCCGAGTCCCGCGCAGCCTCAGCGGCTCAGCGCGGGGACTGTGCTCCGAGACTTTGAGGAACAAATGAATTCGATTTCTGGGTCGCGCTCCAGGCCAGGAGGCTCACGGTAAACGCCGGCTTCCCCTGCACTTCCTCTTGTGGAAGAAAATCTAATCTGGGACCTATTTCCATGAAAAATGTTGGTTTAATGCTAACAATGAAAACAAGTAAAACTGGGCCCCATGGAAAAAGCAACAGCCCAGGCAGCGCTGGCAGGCCGGGCGGGTGCAGTGGGCTCGGGGCTCCTCCCAGTCCCTGTCCTCCTGCCGCCTGGGCCTGCCTGGCACCCGCCCTCAGGACGCCGGCTGCTAGCAGGTACCACCGGCCCCTCGCTCCACACCCATACCCAGCTCGGCCTCGGCGTGGGCAGTGCCAGGGAGCTCCAGGCTCAGAGGGCTGCGTAACTGTCTGGGCGGCGGTGGGTTGAGTAGTGCCCCGCCCCTGTGAATGCGACCTCCTTTGGAAAAAGGGTCTTTGGAGATGTCATTAGGTTTAGGGTCTTGAGGTGAAGAGGCCATGTGGGGTGTCTATGTGGCCCCCCATACCATCGCGAGTGTCCTTATAAGAGGTAGATGGGAGGGAGGGGATTAAGTCACAGATGCACGGAGGAGGGGCCGTGTGGAGGTGGAGGCAGAGATGGCGCGATGCGGCCACAAGCCAAGGCCACCTGGCGCCGCCAGGAGCTGGGAGCGGCAGGAAGGACCCTCCCCTGGAGCCTGTGGAGGGAGTGAGGCCGTAGGACACCTGGATCTCAGATTCCCAGCCTCCACAACTCGAGAGAACACATGTCTGTCATTTTCATCGCCTGTTTGTGGTCTGTGATGACCAGGGCACAGACCAGGGCACTGTGATGGCCACAGGACAGGAGCTTCCTAAACAGTAAGCGTGGGTGTTTCCATGGAGGGGCGGGGGTGGCCAGGCATCGGAGCGGCTTCCGCTGGACAGGGAGGGGCCGGGGACACAGCCGAGGCCTCAGCACCACCATCCTGCAGGGACACAGGAGAGTCTGGATCCCCAGCGCCTCGTGTCATGGGAGCAGGGACCTCTCACCTCTGCGAGACGTCCTACCGTTTTCGCACGCGCCACCTTCCGCGGGGCACCCGTCTGCGCTCACAGGCCGAGGGGGGCGCTCACGGCCCCTTTTCCAGGCGACAAGCGGGTCAGAAGCCCTTTGCTCCAGCGCTGTGGACACTCGGTCTCCGAGGGGGAGCCCCGTGCCGCTCAGTGGGGAGGATCCACGGCCCGATGTGGGGGCTGTCGCAGGCCCCTGGAGTGCTGTTCGCGTCTGGGAGCAGCCGCTGACCGCCGGGCAGCTCTCATATCCAGGTGGTCTTTTCCAAGAGTTCACAGCGAGGAGTTTCCCAGCTGGCTTTTCCGGGGCTGCAAACCCAGCCTTTGTCTGTACAACATTCCCCGGGGCGGCCCAGCCTGGCGGCAGGAGGGTGTGTCTGAGCGACATTGTCCGAATGTCTCAGACTGGCTCTAAAGTCCTGCCTGACGGTGTCGTCCGGGGCCACTCTGCCTGGGGTCCCCCTCCTCCGCCAAGTTCACCGGGCCCGACAGGAACGCGGGGGCCCGGGAGGCAGCCTCGGGGGGCTGC